TCAGAAATTCAACTATCACTGTATACAGATGCAATCAATCATATCAGGAAATGAAATTTTGACTCAGGATAATTACACTAAAGCAGTTAGGGTCAAGAATAAAACTCAGAAGAATATCAGCCCTAATAATACAGTCACAGGGACAACTACCAAATGAATTTATGTCAGATTTGAGAATCTAAACAAAAACAATTAAATAAAAAACTAAGTAAAAGAAATGAGAGGTACAGCATAGTAGGAAAATCAATAGACTTGGAACTGGGTTAATAGCTTAAAGAATGACCTCAAAAAAGTTTTTTAAAAAATACACTTCCTCCCTTCTTTTCTGAGGTAGGCAACTATGGAAGTGAAACATTATGTGTACTATCAGAATGGGTTGACAAGTTGTTTGATTTTGATGAACTGCTTCCCCCTTACTTCTTTATTTTATATTCTTATTATAACAAATGGTTCTCTGGGGTCAAAGATGGAAGAGGAATACATTTGGATAATTAAGGAAAGATTGAAAAACAAAATACATCAACAAAAATATTTAAAAATGAAAAACAAATGAGGTTGGACAAGATAGTTTCTAAAGCTCTAAATCCTCTAATTCTATTATTTCTTTACACCTTCTTTAAAGACAGTACATAAAATATAATTTGCATCAGTCTACTAAAAGTCACCCACATATTAGAAGCTCTATTTTTTCAACAGAATAATAAAACACGTTAGATTATCTTTCTGGGAAGTGAAAAGTCAGATGCAGTGATGTGAAAATATTTTGGGGATAGCATCAACAATTTAGCATTGTGACCTTGGGCAAATTTCTTAACTTCTTTAGCTATCAAAGGAAATGGATTACATGACAGCTAAATTCCCTAATATTGTGTGATCCTAGGTAAACACTACTGAATAGGAGACTGAAGCTTGAGGCCTACAAAAATTCTCAAGCTTCTGCTCCCTGAGAATCCCACGGATAACGGTGACACTGAACAAAAGGTGTCAGAAAAGGGACAGTCCTATGCTGTAAACTATTTTGCTATCTCTAGCATGTGCACATTTAGAAATTTCACCAGTCTACACTGATTTTATCTATTACAAACACACTCATGTTCTTCTTGGGGGAAATCATATTGTGGAAGTACCCCTGAGATTAATATGTCTGTTTTCTATGAGTTACCTTAACAGGCAGATGCAATGGACATGGAATAAGCCTGTTTGCTGAAAGGAGCCAATCAGGAACCTGCAGTGAGCCAAAGTCTTGCTCACTCCAAGACACCTTTGCTGGTGTTCGTTGGCTGACCTTGCTAAGTTATGCCCCATCAAACTGGCCCAAACCGGCCTTGCAGTCAACTGTTCCTGCAAAACATCCTTCTTCCATGTCCACCTGTTCCTGCGAAAGGCTGTCTATTCTTTTTCCCAACACCTCTCTGAACCTCCCCTTTGTGGTTTTCAAGCATAAATCTCCCCTGCCTCTCCTGGGCTACGGGTTCCTTTGTACCTTGTACTGGGAACCTCAGCACTAGCGTCTGATTCTCCTTCTAATAAAACTTTTCTGCTTTCAACCCAGCTTGGACTCCTCTGGGTTTTGAGGTATGGGCTTTTCACCTGGCTGACAGTATCCACTATAATTTTAATGTCTAAGAGGGTTTCATTTCAGAACATGTCAGGAGCATATCATTTGATCATCCATAACTTTGTCTGGGACCTCTTGCTCTTATGTCCATAAAAAGACACAAGAAAATGACCAGTCATGACTAATAAAGAGGTCTCTCTGAGGGCTTTTTTAGACCAATACATGTGTCCAGGGACATAAGGGCTGAGCAGCAGTAACTACTGTGGCACATCTAAGGGCAAACACTCAAACTTATAATGGCAGGCATGGACCCAGCCAGGGCAAGCATTCCCAAACAATAAAGAGTCTACAGCAGCCTAGGCCAGATGCTCTTGTAAGCATGTGTTCACCAGTAGGACAACAGAAAAATACATCTGTAAGGAAGAGTGCTTTACTTTTTTCTGTGTCATGGGCCCCTTATGCAGTCTGGTGAAGCTTATAGACCCCTTCCCAGAATAAGGTTTTTTCTTTAACGTATAAGATAAATTAGATTACAGAAGAAATGAATTACACTAAAATGTACTTATCAAAATATTGAAATTCTGATCTAGAACTGAACTGAATTTCTTATCTAGAGGGAAATCACCCCTAACCCATATCCAATGATTTTATAGATCAAAAACAGTTCATTTCCCCTTTCATTTGGTAATTACTATAAAATATACAGAATTAAAATATTTTATAAATAAGAAAATTACATTACTTTGCTTCATTAATATCTGTTCTAAAATTTCAAAACTCTAAATCTAAAATTCATCTTCACAGCAATCAACCCCCAAACAGATCATAAACTTGATTACATAAACACTGAAACAATCAAACCTTTTGTCCACTATGCCTCTTTTTCTTTCGTAAATTTTTTTACTCATTATAAACTTAAATACAAAACAATGGGGGAAAAAACAGAACATCGCCATGTACACAGCAGAACATAAGAGAGGACTTCATATAAAACAATAAATTTCCATTTCTAGAAAACCTATATAATAAATACTACACACTGTTTTCAAAGTTACCCAGATTTTCTTTGCTTCCTTGTAGGTTTTCTTTTGTTCTCTGCTATGCATTTTTTCCCCTCCCACCCCAACTCCCCGGCCTAAACAAGGCTACAATTAAACACACACACACACACACACACACACACACACACACACACACACACACACACACACACACACACATATATACACACATATATACAGATATCTATAAACATAAACACACACACACAAACACACACACACACACACACACACACACACACGTATCTAAGACCGTACAACGCATCTTTCCATTTGTCATCTTTTTCTCTGAAGGTACAAAGCATCTTCCTTCATAAGTCCAAGTCTCTTTGTGTTTTTCTAAATCAACTAGCTCATTTCCTACACCACACCAACATTCCAACCCAATCACATTCTATCTGAGAGACTGTCTATGAAAGCTTTTTCCCAATTTTCTATATTCCTTCTATTCTTGGCTACATTGGTTTTATTTATATCAGAAAACATTAATTTAAAATAATAGAAATTATCCATTTTATATTTCAGCAAGGCACTCATGTTATAATATAGTTTAAGGTCTGATACTGCTAAATCTGCTTCCTTTACATCTTTTTTCCCCAGTTTCTTTGAAATTCCTGACCTTTTGTTCTTCCAAATGAATTTTGTTATAATTTTTCCTAAGTCAGTAAGATAATTTTTAGTAATTTAATTAGGATGGCATTGAATAAATAAATTAGTTAGGCAAAACTGTCATTTTTTAATTATATTGGTTTTCCCTATCCATGAACAATAAATATTACTTCAATTATTTAAATCTGACTATTTGTATAAAAAGTGTTTTATGTTCATATAGTTTCTGTGTCTGTTTTGGCAGTATACTCTCAAGTATTTTATACTGTCTAGTTATTTCAAATGGTCTAAAACAATATTCAATAATATTGCTACACATAGTGTAGTTTTCCTATTTTTCTCTTTTGGTTAAATTTATTTTAGCTTTAACTTTGATTGAGATCATGATTACTACTCCTGCCCTTTATTTTATCCTTGTATGTATCTCTCACTTTTATAGCATTTCCTGAAAACAACATATTGTTTAATTCAAATTTTTAATCTGCTATTCCTTTTGTTTTATAGGTAAATTCATCCCATTCACATTCTAAGTTATAATTACTTGTGTTTTTTTCCTTCCTATTTTTCCTCACTATCCTTCTCACCCTATTTACCCTATCTCTCCTGCTTTATTTCTACCCACTACCTTGCCCCCTATTCCTCAACCTACCCACCCATCCAAGAGTCCGCCCTTATTCTCTCTCCCTACCCTATCTCCTTGCCTTCTTATTTCTTTCTGAATTTAGAAGACTTTTTATACCCTTCTAGATACATATGTTGTTCCCTCTTTAATCTATTCCTGACTAGTAAAGTTCCAGCATTACCCACCCTCCCCCCTACTAGCTTCTTCTGTATCAATTTTCCCTTGTATGCCTCATTTGTATGAGATAACTCCTTTTTATCTCTCCCTACAGTTTTATTTTTTTAGAATCATCCCGTCATACACAGCTCAGCCCAAGCCTTTCTTTCAAACTACCCAAACAATGATGACATTTCCACATATAAGAAGTAAACAATTTGACCTTACTAAGTCCTTTACAACTGGTCTTTAATGTTTACCTTATATTTCTCCTGGATCTTATATATCAAATTTTCCCTTAAGTTTTTCTGTTTTTGTCACAAATACCTGAAAGTCTTTCAGTTCATTAAGTGTCCATTTTTTTTCACTTAGAATTATACTTAACTTTGCTGGGTATGTGACCCTTGGTTGTAACCCCAAATGCCTCTCTAAATTACAAAATCCTCTTCATTAAAGGCGTCAATTCCAAGGCTTGATATTCTCGGGCTCTTAAAGCCACGGAAGGTCTCTTAGGTCATTTGTTGTTTGATCATTTCAATTGTGTCTGACTCTTCATGACTCCATTTGGGATTTTCTTAGCAAAGATAATGAAGTGGTTTGCCATTTCCTTGTCCAGCTTATTTTAAAGATGAGGAAACTGAGGTAAACATGGTTAAGTGACTTGCTCAAGGTCACAAAGGTAGAGTCTGACACCAGATTTGAACTCAGGAAATGAGTCTTGTTGACTAGAGGCTCATCACTGTACACTGCACCACCTAGGTCATCACCTGAATGTCTTACATCTGAGGATGAGCCTAGATTCAGAGAGAATTGTAACCAAATGATGAATTTTTTTCAGCCCAGCAATTCATGACTGACCTGGTGAGGTGCTGTGATTTGAGTCTACAGAAAACATGCCCACACTGACACGAAATAGCACTCCCTGAGTTACTGAAGGGAGAAGCAAACCACAAGTGTAGACACTAAGAAAATAAAACTATTAAAATATCCTTACAGTTTCAAACTGCAGATGACTATCCTTTAGGAAACCCTGGACCGTGTCAGGAGGCAGAATGCTGAATCGAAATCGAAACAGGTCCATTTCTTGTTGAATGAGCCAGCGTCTGAGATCCTCTCTGAGACAGAAGGAGAAGTATAGGTTACAAACCCAAAGATTACACCTCTTGGCGATTTTCATGAAAGAGTATTTAAGAATATTAACCAAACACAAAACAGGATGTTTCCAGGGGGACAGCCAGTGAAAATCAGATGCATTCTTAAAAATAAAGACAACAAGCTTACCAAATATTAAAATTATAGTTTTTTGAAAGAAAATTCTGAGACTCTTGTAGGTGTAAAAAACTGGTTATTCCAAATTAAGAAAATAAAGCATTACTGGGAAAAATAAAACTACTTTAAATCTTAATTTTGAGCACGCTCTCATCACCTGGACTACTGAAATAGCCTACTGATTGTTCTCCTTGCCTAAAGTATCTCCATACTCCTCCATATTCCTTACATCTTCCAATCAGCTATCAAGCTGATCTTCTTAAAGTGCAGGTCTAACCATATCATCCCCTCCCCACCCCCTTTCAATAAACACCAGTATCTTCCTCTTATCTTGAGGAAGAAATACAAAATCCTCAGTTTGGCTTTTAAAGCCCTTCAAACCTGATCCCTACCTACCTTTACTCCCTTGCACATACTCTGCTATCCAGTAACACTACACTGGCCTCTTTACTGTTCCTCAAACAAGACATTCATCTCCTGATTCCAATTGTTTTCACCAGCTGTCCCCTCCACCCCCACCCCACCCCCACCCCACCCCCATCCGAAACACTCACCTTCCCCATGTCTACCTTCTGGCTTCCCTCAAGTCTCTATCTTTTGCAAGAAGCCTGTCCTTGATCTTAGTCCATTCCCTCTGAGACTACCCCAATTTATCCTATGTATATCATATTTGTACATAGTTGTTTGCATACTGTCTCACCCATTAGACTATGAGTTCCTAGAAAAAAGGAGCTATTTTTTGCCATTTTTGGTCTCAAGCACTTAGCATAAGTGCCTGGCACATAGCAGGCAATAAATAATGCTACCTGATTTGACTTAACTAAAATGGGGTAGGATGGGAAGGGTATGGAGGAGTTACTATTTTTAAAAATTCCTAGAAAAGATGTTTTACCAGTCACTAAAGAACTTTATTTTAATTTAATATTTCCACAGCTTTATGTTGTTTGTGATATGACAAAAATTTTAAACACTATAAGAAGGATTCTCTTTTATTTGGTTTTACTAATTATGAAATATAAAAGTAAGACTGATGAACTAAATATGGTATGATTAAATAATTAGACTTCATCCCCAAATATTTAGTATAATATTCTAAAGTGTATCACAAATAATATGATAATGTTTTCTTTATGTATTTCTTAATAAGTCAAAAGTTTTGCCTGTAATATTAAATTTTATAAAGTCATAATATTAGGTAGGTACAGATGTGCCTCACTTTTTTTTAAAGCTAATGTAAAAAAAACCCTTAATTCACAAAGCAAATAAATTAGGTAATTATTTGTACTACAAAAGAATTCATCCATTTATAAAAATAATTCACTAGACAGTTATTTTAAATATTAAACTACTCTAGGGAAGGTATGAATCAATTTATAAAAATCTGATTTTCACAGAAACATACCCACAGTTTAAAGCAAGGTGCCACAAAATATCTTTTGAACAAATAAGCTCAAAACATTCAGACCACTGAATGACATGTAAGAAGAATCTCCTAGTAATTTCCCTCACATTCATTTGCACACCTTTGTAGATCACCTTCAGCCAATTTACTAATTAAAAGGAGCACAAACATGTAACAAAACAACATTAACATTGAAAATAATATATATAAAGAAAGACAACAATGCTAACTTTTTCTCCCTTTAGGTGGCACTATTGGCTTAATAAAAGGCAAGAGTTTTACTTTATTGTAAAGTACAACCACGTTTTGTAAACATACTAGGGTCTATTATAAGAAAAAGATTAAACACTGACATATCTGCCTTAAAATTGGGAAAAAGTTCATAACACATTTGAGTGACAGGGCTTTCCTTGGCATTTTTTTCTTGGTATTATTTTTTCTTAAGTATTCCAGGTTCTTTCTGGGGGAAAATATCAAAATTCTCCTTGAGTTTACACACCCGTTTCCAATTTTTATTTTGTCCTACCCACGACCAATGTAAAGCAAGAACAGACTCCACAACAAATGGTAATATATATTCATTTAATTGTGCTAATAAAATCAGCCTCATCCACTTTACTGCATCACAATTTAGTGATACTAAATTCTCAACCAAGTATTTATTAAATATCTATACTTAGCATCATGTTTCACCCCTCTTCTTGCCTCCTCTCTAATTCTCATCTCTATTTTACCTACTTCAAACTAACTATGACTCACCTTCACCTTCCCTCTACTCTGCTACCACCCTCAACTAAACCCTTCAAATATACCAGTATACCATACATCCTGTTTCAGGAGGATACCAATATAAAACCTATTTCTGTTTCAGAAATTCATTAATAATAAACAATTATGAATCACATTAGTACAATTTTATTATTTTAAAAAACGGGTAAGCAGATCACTGGAAGAAGCTACCCAGACAACAGGAGCACTGTTCCTGTTCCTACAGTGGAAAGAGCACTCACTGGCTTTGTAATCAGACAACCTGGGTTCAAATTCTGCCTCTGATACTACTTATATCACTTTGGACAAGTCATATAATTTCCCCAGACCTCAGGTGAGTTTCCTTATCTGTAAAAGGAAAGATGTGGCCAAAATGATCCCTGAGGTCCCTTCCAACTCTAGACTTATGATCCTATTATCTAGGTTCTAGTCTCACCCAGTTCTATCACTAATTAGCTCTGTAACCTTGGACAAACCATTTAATTTTTATGGACCTCAATTTCTTTACCTATGAAAAAAGAAATGAGGGTTTTCACTGAGATGCTCTCTCAGGTCCCTTTTTACTCAAATTCTATTATTCTGATATTTCAGAACTCAAACATAAGAAACCCACAGATTAAGGGTAGAGACCAAGAGTCCAAAATTCTGAATCATTTTAAAATGGTGTAATGTTACTTAGATAATTGCTATAATACAAAACTGTATCTTAAGAAGAGCAGCACCTTTCAAAAGCAACATGCCAACATTCCACACACTTTCCTTTGAGCATGCTGGAGTGTGGAGTGCAAACCCTGGAACAGAGGGGGAAGAGAGGAGCTGATCACATGTTGGCTGCCAACTCCCTCTTGTAGAAAGAGGAGCACAAGTTGGCCATGGATTCTCATAGCCAGCAAAGGCCCTAACAGACCTGAGGCTACTAAAGTTGACCCATGTTCAGTTTGTGCCATGAATGGCCCTGTAGAATGTTTAACCCTGATTTAGGAAATTCTACACATAGTATAATATTTCAATTCTCAGTATGCCAACCCACACCCCAAGATTTCAAACAGAAATCTATGAACTGGAAATATAATCACTGTCTACTTACGACTGGCAATAAGCAAGACGCAAGATGAAATGAGATATGTGATCCCTTCTTCGTGCTTCAAATTCATCATCTGAACTTTCCTACAAAGTAATAACAAACATTTAAGCTAATCAGGAAAAATAAAAATAAAAGAATAAGAAAATACTGAGGCAATAGAAGACATTAAAATTTCAATGTCCACAAAATTCACACGTGTTCTGAATGAAAAGTATTTAGTGAATGCTAAATAGATGTTATATTTATCCTCATGTGACAGTAAAGCACGGAACAATTCAATTGCTCCTTCCCCTCCCCAAGGACACAAGACCACCTGAAGAGGCAAGGTAGCAAAATGGAAAGGATGCTAGACTTAAGGAAGGGAGAAAAAGAAACAAGCATTATTAAACTTCCTGTATTGTTGTTCAGTTATGTCGGACTCTTCCTGACTCAATCTGGGATTTTCCTGGCAAAGATACTGGAGTGGTTTGCCATCTTCTTCTCCAGTTCACTTGACAGATGAGAAAACTGAGGCAAACAGGGTTAAATGACTTACCCAGGGCCACACAGCTAGTGTCTGGGGCTGAATTTGAACTCAGGTCTTCCTGACTCCAGTCCCAACACCATCCACTGCACCACCACACCACCCTAAATTTCTTGTATACTCAACATTATCCTTACACTATCTTTACAAATATTACCTCCTCTAGTCCTCTTTACTTCTATACCTACTATGTGCCAGTCACTGTGCTAAGTGTGTTACAAATATTATCTCATTCGATCCTCACAGAAATCCTCAGAGATACAAGCTATTATTAACCCCATTTTACAGTTGAGGAAACTGAAGCAGACAGAAGTAGAGTGACTTGCCATAGTCACAGAACTAACATTTATCTAAAGGTGTTATTAAACTCAAGTCTTTCTGAATCTAGGCCCAACACTCTATCTACTGTACCATGGGCAGCTGTCTCTAGAGTCTGGAGCCAAAGGACCTAGGTTTGAATCTAGGCTCTGCTACCTATTACTTGTGTACAATTTTCCTGGTCCTTAGTTTCTTCATACATAAAATGGGGGGGGGGGGTGGCCTAATTAGATTAGTCCTTCCCAGTCTAAATCTATGTTCCTATCACTCTGTGACCTGGGAAAGCCTAATTTGGATTAAAGAAACTTGCTCTTACAAGAATAGGAACACGGAAGGATTCCAGGGTAACATAACACAAAACTCTATCATTTTGCCAGATGGCCAAGGAATCTTGGCCTTTGCTGATAAATAAAGCAAACCAAGTTCAGTATGGGGTAAATAACTCTCTGGAGTCAAAGAACTTAGGTTCAAATCTCACCTCTGATGGTTACTAATCTTGAGAAAATCAAAACCTCTCTGGGCCTAAGTTTTTTCACCTTTCTTCTACCAAGAGTCACCTCTGAAATATATCAGCTGGGTAACACCGTAACTTAATCTCATACTGCCCCCAAAGAACTCTCTAAAACTTTTAAGTCACAGAAAGTTGACAACTGACTCTGGAAAGGCAAATTTCCTCACTGGAAGTTACTTACAGCAATAAAATCACAGGATATGATCCCACTACCAACTCTCCTAAAAAAGGTCAAATTAAACAAAATGGTTAGAATTAAACTGAGCATAAAATGTCACCATAAAAAAGTATTATTATTGTAAGGGAAAAGTCACACTTTAACAACTTTGAATACATATTTATTAAGTGCCTACAACCTACATGGGGTAGCTAAATAGCACAGGGATAGAGTGCCAGGCCCAAAGTCAGGAAGACTCATCTTCCTGAGTTCAAATCTGACCTCAGACACTTACTAACTGTGTGACTCTGGGCAAGTCACTTAACCCTTTTTGCATCAGTATCCTCATCTGTAAAATGAGCTAGACAAAGAAATGGCAAACCACTCTAGTATCTTTGCTAAGGTAACCCCCCAAAAAAAAGGGGTCATGAAGAGTTGGACACAACTGAAATACTGAACAACCACAACCTACAGAGACCGCAGCTGTTAACTGAGAGATACAAAAATTGAATAAGATAAAGTCTCTGCCCTCAAGGGCCTTTGGCACATTAAAAAAATTATAACATGAAAAACATATAAGAAGGGTATATTCATAAACAAAGAGATCGCTTGAACTGATGGACAGCACCTCAGGCCTAGGGAAAAGGAGCATTATTGGAAGACATGAAATGTATATGAGGGATAATGAATGGTACAGGTGGCAAGAGCAAAGAACACATGGAGTGTGGAAGCACAGAGTGTTGTCGACTGGTGGAAGGTCTTGAATGCGAGGCTGAGAAGTATGAACCTTATTTGAGGGGAAATAGGGAGCTATTGAAAGATCTCTGCGTGTGAAAGATTTCGCTGGCCAAAGTATGAGAGTTGGTAAGGAATAGAACAGAGGTGGAAAAACCATTAGGCAGAAGGGTACTAGGATGGTAACACTAGGAATAAGAAGAAGGAAATAGATGCAAATGATATCAAAGAGGTAGAATTAATAGGATCTGACTACTAATTGGATATGGCAGGAAAAGATCAAAATTAATACACAAGTTTGTGAACATGAATGGAAGTTTAGCAAATGCATCCAACCCAGCCTTCCTCATAATCTTGGCCAAAAGAAAAATATTCAATTTCCAAAAGGAATCCTCAATAAGAAAATTTGAAAAGAAAACTGAAAAAAAGTTGCACTGAAATACACACATCACAATAACCTTAACAGCCAATACAAGCAGTTAATGGTGTTTATGTTACCAATGGCTATTCAGTGATCCAACTAACACAAGTATACATTTGGATGGATCTGCCATATCAATCAATATGCATTTATAGTGCCAAGCTTATCACTAGGCACTAGTCGGGATAGGGATATTAAAAAAAAAAACAATAATCTCTATGTTCTGATGGAGGAGAAAATATATATATAAATACATACTTTTTAACTTATTTTTATTTATACTTTATATTTATATATACTTTATGCATACATATGCATTTTCATAAGTATATACATTTTTATACTTATATGCATATTTTTCTTTTTTATTAAAATACAGAGACTGGTTTGTTTGATTTTTGGTGAGGCAATTGGGGTTAAGTGACTTGCCCAGAGTCACACAGCTGGTAAGTGATTGTTTCTTTTTTTATATTCCTATCCCCACTAGTGCCTAAAAAGCTTGGCACTATAAATGCATATGGACTGATTGCACATACATAATAAGCATAAAGAAAAATACAAAATAGCTAAATAAAAGGTAGCTTGTGAATAAGAGCACTAGCTGTTGTGGGAGAAGGTCCTGAGTTGCATCTCAAAGAAAAAGAGGGATTTTATGAGGCAGAAGTAAGAAGAAAGTCAATTGTAAGCATGGGAGATAGCCAGAACTAAAGTACACAAATGAAAGAAAGAATGCTGTATGTGAAGACCAGAAAAAAGAAGAGTTTGGCTGGAACACAAGAGTATGGGAAGGAAAATAGGGTCCAATGAAGCTGGAAAGAAAGGCTGAGCCCAAACTGAGAGGGGCTTTGAAACCTTAACAGAGGGATTTGTATTTTATCCTTGATGCAACAGGAAACCACTGGAGTTTATTGAGTAGGAAAGTAACAAGGTCAGATTTACACTTCAGGAAAATCACTACGTCCTAGTTTGTAAGGAAAGAATTGAACAGGAAGAACAATAAGGAAGTTGTTGCAATAATCTAGGCAAGGGATGATAAAGGACTGAATTATGGAAGCTGTGTGAGTAGAGAGAAGGGGTTAGATAAAAGAATTAGTGTGTAAACATAAATAGTAAGATTTGGCAACTGGTTGATATGCTGAATTTCAAATATTTCCAGGAAATTCAGTTTGAAATGTCCACAAGACTTCCCGTGATACTGGACTGAAACTCAGTGGAGAGTTAGGAGAGTCATCTTTGTAGAGCTGATTTTTAAACGCATGGGGAGCTGAGGAAGTCACCAAGATAGGCTGTAGCTATAGAAGACAAGAGAGGCCAGGACAGAGCCCTGAGAAACACATACAGTAAGACACTTGATGGGGATGATGAGACTACAAATAAGATGGTGAACAAGAGTATAGACAGAAAGGAGGTGAATCAGGATAGAGTAGTATAAGGAAAACCTAGAGAGAAGAGAGTATCTAAGAAAGGAAAATGATCAATAGCACCAAATGCTTATAGACTATAAAGGATGCAAACTGAGAAAAGACCATCAAAGTTCCTAACTCAGATTAGCTGGGGAGAGCAGCTTCAGTTGAGTGTTAAGTTGAGTAGGAAACCAGTCTTCAAAGGGTTGAGCAGGAGGAGAAGAAGAGAAGGCAATGAGCATGGCCAGTTTTTCTCCCCTAAGAGTTTGGCAGACAAATGTAAAAGAGACATAAGACAGTAGTTTTAGGGGATGGTAGGATCTAGTGAAAGTTTCTAAAGATGGGGGAAGACTTAGTTATATAATAATTGATGCAAATGAAAAGATTTTTGTTTGTACTTACTCTGTAGGAAAATTTGAGTCTTCGAATCTCAATCTCCAGCTTACTCTGGTATTGCTCAGACCCTTTCACATAGCTCACACCAAGATTTTCAACTATCTTGAGCACTATAAAAATCACAGCAAAAATGAGAGAGAGAGAGAGAAAGAGAGAGAGAGAGAGAGAAATCAAGTAATTTGGGCTTTTAAAAAACTATATTAAGAGGAAAAAAATCCTTTAATTGTTTTACCTAGCCCTATTATAACTAATCACACATATAACAGTAAAAGCAACAATTAAGTATATTTTTGGTGAATTCAACTCCCTCCTCAAATTCATAGTAAATTCAATTTACTTCTGTATCCATTACATGTTCTATGTGTAGCATGTGGAGCTCAAACATAGTGCTACATTTTTTCCCAATTAAGGAAAATGCACTTTCTCTTCCTTTTGCCTCCCCATTGAAAAAGAAAGATAAATAAAACAGTTGTAACAAATACACACAGTCAAGCAAAAATAATTTTCTGCATTGGCCACACCCAAAAAAATATCTGAATCTGCACCCTGAGCGCATCATTTCTCAGTCAGGAGGTAGATAACATGTTTCATCATAAGTCCTCTGTAATTGCGATTGGTCATTGCGTTGATCAATGTTAAGTCTTTCAAAGTTGTTTGTCTTTACAATGTTATTGTTATTGTATAAATTGTTCTCCTGGTTCTACTCACTTCAATCTTCATACAAATTTCTCTAAAACTACACTCTTCCCAAAATAGCATTTCATCATATTCACATACCATTATGGAGCTATTCTCCAATTGATGGGTACTCCCTAAGTTTCCAGTTCTTTGAAATCATAAAAAGAGTTACTATAAGTAAGTTTTATACATAAGGTGCTTTTCTTATTTCTTTGATCTCTTTTGGGGCACAGACCTAGTAATATTACCTGTGGGCCCAAGAGTAAACACAGTTTAATAGCTTTGGGGGCATAGTTCCAAAGTGTATTCTGGAACAGGTAGACAGACTATTTCATTGTCATGGCATAAACTAGACATGTCAGAAGCAGGCAGAATTTCCCAGAGCTACATGAACTGAAATACCATGGGGATGAAGAAACACATTTACCAAGTCATCAAAATGATTGTGATGAGGAGACTGCTACACTTACAGATCAGTGGCTCTGTGAAAGTAACTTATCTTGGAAAGACATAAGAACTGATGCAAAGTGAAGTGATCAGAATCAGGAAAACACTGTACACAGTAACAGCAATATCACGCAATGATCAACTGTGAATTACTAAGCCATTCTGAGCAATACAATAATCTAAGACAATTTCAAAGAACTCAAGATTAAAAATGCTATCCACCTCCAGAGAAAGAACTGATGGAGTCTGATTACAGATCGAAGCACATTATTTTTTTTAACTTTTTTTGTGTTTTGGGTTTTTTTGCCTGTGTTTTCTTTTACAATATGACTACTATGGGGATTTGTTTTGTATGATTGCACATGAATAAGCTATATCAAATTGCTTACTGTCTCAAGGAAGGGAAAGGGAAGGGAGGGAGGGAAAGAATTTAAAACTCAAAATTTTTTTAAAAGTGTTAAAAATTGTTTTTACATGCAATTGGGAAAAAATAAAATATTATTTAAAATTCAAAAAAAAAAGTAACCTATCCATCCTTACCAATAGTTCTAATCATTTCAGAGCCCACTTTAAGTCAACAGTCATGCTAAATTAGAATTCATGGCTAACATGTACCTGAATTGCAAAGAAATGAGGGATCCAAAATTTCCTTAAACATTTCAAGTCTAACAGAATGTAAAATGTCACTCACGTTTAAGCCTATCAATAGCCAGAGTTTCAAACTCTATCAAAGATATGTTTTCAGAAGGAGGTTGTAGGTAGAACTGAAGGCTATGAGGATAGGAAGCAACCCTCTGGTCACCTGCCAGAATCAGTTTCTTTCTCTTTGATCCAAAAAACTGCATCGTTGTTACCTTAAGCAAAGAAAAAAAAAAGATTAGTTGAAAATATAGGGAGATAGCTTTCAACTTTGCCTACTTGAGAGGAGTTCCTAATTTTCACCATCATACATATTAAGAGGCAGCATGGTATTGGTCTCTGAGTGAGGAATATAGAGGTTTTCAAATCTTACCTCTGACACATTCTACAAGCACTTGAACTCTTTGGGTTCCACATGCATATTCATTTCTCTTGTAATAAACCTGGTTTTCACATACATCTCATGATGTTCTTGTGATTTGCTTGTGATTGCTCCACACCACATTTCTTATCCATCACCTTACTATTCACACAAGCTGCCACCTTAGTTCAGGCTCTCATCACCTCTCACTTGGACCTAATTCAAATCAAATCAGATACGTACTAGCTGTATGATCCTGGGCAAGTCACTTAACCTCTGTCTGCCTCAGTTTTCTCAACTGTAAAATGAGGATAATAATAGCACCTACCTCCCAGACTAGTTATGAGGTTCAAATGAGATAATTGTAAAGTATTTACTATAATACCTGGCACATAGTAGGCACTAAGTAAATGTTGGCTATCATTATTATTATTATTATTATTAATACTTATACTCTCTGCCTAACAGGATTGTTGTAAGGAAAACATACTATAAACCTTAAAGAACTATATAAATATGAGTTCATTATCAAAGGTAGGAGGAGAAAGATGAGTGCAGTGGCTGGTCAATTTCACTTACAAAATCTGTGCCAATCAATAATATTTAACACTTATACCATCATTTAGGGCTTGAAAATTGCTTTACATACAACCTTACAACAACCTTATGAAATAGGTACTTTTTTTTCAGTCCAGACCTATACTTTCGTTAGTGTGGAGAACTCTAGGTTGGAAATCTTGATCTACCTACACAGAACAGCCGGCCACTGAAAAGTTAAATGGCTTGGCCAACAGTCATAGATATTTTTATTTTATTCAACTAATGCTTAAGTGAACAGACTTACAGGTAGTTTTGACCACATATTACATTTTACAGAGATAAACAATCAAATATCTGGTAATGTTAAAAGTGCAGTGTATAAACAATTAAACATGACACATGTAAAATTCAATTATAAAAGAGATCATAAAGGAACATTATAGAACACAGTATACAAACTGATAGACACAATTGTTTCTATGTTCATACTACAAATGTATATAAATTGATAAAGAGACACAATCACTTCTCACTATTTCTACAATGGCCCAGTAAGTAGATAGAGTGTCAGGCCTAAGGTCAGGAAGACTCATCTTCCTGAGTTCAAATGTGGCCTCAGACACGTACCAGCTGTGTGACCCCACACAAGTCATTTAACCCTATTTACCTCATTTTCCTCACCTGTAAAATGAGCTGGAGAAGGAAAAAATGAGTTCAAAAAGGGTCGGACATGAATGAAACGACTGACCAACAACAAAGATACAATAGCTTCTCATACTACAATTGTTATCAGCCCCACGACGAAACTGTAACTTAAGAAAGGTTAAGTGACTCGCCTAGAGTCACACAGCTACTAAGTGTGGAAAGGTATCATTCACACCAAGATCTCAAGGGATCTCAAGCACCTCACTCCTGGCCACAAATATTTATTAAGCACTTACTCCCTGTGATGCAATACAGTAACATTGTGTATGCTGCGGCTTTGGGCGCAAATCCCTCGGTTTTCAAGCCCTTCCCCTACCCATTCTGGCCCCCAGAGAGTAAAGGCGGGGTAAGGAGGGGTGGGGGAGAGAACAGTGTGGGGAAGAAGAACAGGGTGTAGGAAGGCAAGCATGTAAATTTCAGTAGTCAAACTCCCCAAACTTCCCTAACCTAGAGCTCCTAGGGAAGCTAAAAGCATGCTGCACCTCATGCACCACACACCCGGACACAAATTCTCCCTCTCCCCCAACACTGCACCCCCAGCCACTCCCCGCTTTGTCCCCCCAATACCAGCCCCGCTTCTCAGCCCAAGCCCCAGCAAGGGGAAACAGGAACCCGGCACAGACTCCGGGGCTCCACAAACCCTGGTGCAACAAAACCCACTTACAGGCTGGAAAGAGGAAACGTGCCCCAAGATCCCCACGCGAAGTTGTTACCTGCAGCAGCCCCAAGTCCTCTATAAGTGCAGGGATCTCTTCCTTTCTGAACCAGGACTCAGCCCTTCGCTAAGGCGGGAGATTTCGGATGGAGGCGGAAATCGTCACAACTCGCTCCGGCCCCGCCCCATTCCGTCCCGTTCCCTCCGCGCTGGCCCCACCCCCTCACGCCGGCCCCGCCCCCCTGCGCTGGCTGGCCCCACCCCCTCATGCCGGCCCTGCCCCCGAAGTTCCAGGTCCCCGGGCTCAGCCTTTGGCGCTTCTTCTGGTCCTGCACCCAGGGAAGCAGGGTTTAGTTACTCAAGTTGTGCGGCCATTTACTGTGCATCGATCTAGTGTGTTCTGATTTATATATGCCGTCTCTCCCCGTCAGAATGTGAGCTCTTTGAAGAGAGGGACAGATTGTAGTTGGTTTGGGTTTTTGTTTTAATTTTTTTTCTGGTTTCCACATGTCTCCTCTAAAATCCCACTTTCAGCAAGAAGCCTTTTACAAATAAGATATATTGCAGGATAAATTGGAGATACCACTTGGGAGGGGGTGCTAGCATTAAGGAGTCCAAGCGCCTTGCCCCATGATTATCTAAAGTTTAGGCTAAATATATCGTATTTGTACATGATTGCATGTTTTCTCTCCCCTTAGACTGTGAGCTCTTTGAGAGCAGGGACAGCTTTTGCCTTTGCTTAATAAACAACGATTGCTTGATTGATTGGGAAGTAGGGGTTCTTTGTAATGGAAACTGGGATGTGCACCTAGGTAAAGAGATAGTGGGGTATTCAGTGCTGACTGCAACCCTAGCATTAATGGAGCCCTGCAGGGGTAAAAGTTTGTGACCTGACCAGAAATTGACACAATGTGGGCATATAAGCTTGAATATGTGCAACCCAAGAGAAGGAAAAGTTCATTCGTTGGTCTCATTTTTTTTTAAGATTCCCTAAAGTTCTTAGCAGCTCTTAGAGCATCAAAATGACTTAGATTTGGGCCTCAAGGTAAGGGCGCTCACTGGATGCTCTAGAGCCTTAAATATAGAGAGCAAAAGAAGAGATTCTTCAGGGCCTGGCTGTGATGGACTCACTGACAGATACAGTGGGAAAAGCTGGATTTGGAATCAAAAGATCAGGGTTGAAATCCCAATCCTGGACTGAATCAGGAGGCATTTTCTACTTGTTTAACCATAGGCAAGCCATTTAACCTATGAGAGTTTCAGTTCTTCCTCTATAAAATCAGAGAATTGAACTTGATGACTTCAAAGATACCTTCTAGGTACCTTCTAAATCAGTGATCCTCTGACTCATTTGGGATTGCTGTTACTCTTTAGTTCTCTTTTCCCAGGATCCATGAATTCTGGAGGTGGAGTATCTCTTTTCATCCTTTTAGTCCTCCCTTTCTTCCTCCCTACCAAAATGAACTTCAGGCCCACAGCCCTACATAGCTTGTAAATATGTTCTTAGGTTGCTTTGCATTTGTTTTTGGTTTTGTTTGTTTGTTTCTTTAATTAAAACCTGTATCATATATAGAGAATTGACAAGTTGGTTTGTTTTGATGAATTTTTTCCCTCTCATGCTTTGTTAGGAAGGATGGCTCCCTGGGTAGGGAAAGGAAATAAATATATTAATAAATTAAGATGACATAAAAACCAAAGCTGTCAATAAAAATCAAATTTTTAAACAATTAAAATCATAGAAGCAAAAGATAAGATCTAAGGAATACCACACAACTCTGTGGGAAAGATCTGCAAGTTTTGTTTTTGTTCATAACAAACTTTTTTCAGCATCAAGGACAATGAATTTGGGTTCTAACACAGAATGTGCTGTCTGAGGAAATGGAAAGAACACTAAAGAAAACAAAAATGGAAAAAAAATAACTCTACTAGACCAAGGGTGTAAAGAGGAAGTCTGTGCTGGAAGTGACACAGTTTTGAGGGTATTAAGGATTGATTTTCAAGATATCTGGAGGGGGAGAAAATGTGAAAAAGAAAAAATAAATCTCAAACTGTATTAATACCAAAAAAAAAAAAGGAACTCTAATAACTTTCCAGACGTGCTCATCTTTATGACCTATACAAATTCACTGATAAGGGAATTCATTAGAAGGAAAGAGATTAGCTTTTACAAACAGTATTCTAAAATAGACCACATTTTTTTTTTACTATCACCCAATTGACAAAGTACTAGAATACAAGATCATACAGTGATTATTTTTTGGTATTGTTGACCATAAAAAAAGTATTTGGCTCAACAGAACAAGATATTACCTCAGATGCTCTCCTCTAACAAAGGCACTTCCTGTCCATGTGGCAAAATTATGCAGGATTCTGTGAAATATATAAAAAAGAGAACCTGTTTGTAAACCCTCTGATCATTAATAATAATCAAGGTATAAAACAGAAAGGTATATGTTCACAAAAGTTCACCATTGTCATGGAGGACATCCAGGTGGCATCTGCCAGTACTAACTCATCAGTATCTTTTCTCAGCATAAAAGCAGATTAAGACAATAAAGAACAATTACACAGGAGGATTGCACCCTTACTCCCCAATGCTTTGGGATTTCACACAGTACACTTTTCATTGTTGGGGGGGGGTGAACACAGCAAAGATAGATAGGAAAATAAATACAATTCTGTCACTAAAATAAGATCTAATTCTGAGATGACTAATCAGTTAAGTCCTTTCCAAAGACAGACAGAAAAAAAAAAAGATCAAGAGAGAAATTCTACAACATTATGTATTATTACAGTTGTGCTTTGTGTTCCATTCTGTACACTGTGATCAGAAGGACACAGAGGGCTGATCTTTCAAACTCTTCTGTACTATAAATATTCAACTTTACCAGTATTATTCATCAGGAAAGGCTACATGGGTTAGTAGGAAGTGTGTTGGACTTGAGTCAGAAGTTCTGCCTAGTTCCAATCCTTCCTTAGAAACTTTTTAGTTCAGTCATTTCGGTCATGTCTAACTCTTTATTACCCCATTTTGAGATTTTATTTGGCAAAGATACTGGAGTGGTTCGCTATTTCCTTCTCCATCTCATTTTACAGAAAAGAAACTAAGGCAAACAGAGTTAAGTGACTTGCCCAGGTCACACAGTTAGTAAATGTCTAAGGCTGGATGCTGAACTCATGAAGATGAGTCTTCCTGATCCCAAGTCCAGTATCCTATCCACTGCACCACCTAACTGCCCTTCCTCAGGACCTTACTAGTCAGTCAATAAGCATTCATTAAGTCCTTACTATGTGCCAGGAACCAAGTTAAGCACTGAGTATACAAAGATAGGCAAAAAAACATGGTCCTTCCTCTCAAGGAACTCAGTCTAATGAAAGAAATTCATAAAAAACTATGTACATAGAAGATACACACAGAGTAAACACGAAGCAATTTCAGAGGGAAGGCATGAGCATTAAAGGAGATCAGGAAAGGCTTGTTACAGAAGGTGGGATTTTAGCAGAGACTAGAAAGAAGTTAGGGAAGCTTGGAGGCAGAGGTGAGAAGGGAGAACATTTTAGACATGGAGGACAGCCAGTGAAAATGCATTGAATCTAGAGATAGTGTCTTGTGAGAGAAATGCCAAGGCCAGTGTACAGGATTTGGATTACAGAGTATGTAATGTGGAGGAGAGTAAAATATAAGATGAGAAAGGTAGCAAGGGCTAGATTATGAAGGTCATTAAAAGCCAAATAGAGGATTTTATATTCAATCATGGAGATAATAGGGAGCTGTTGGAATTTTTTGAGTAGGGGCATAACATGATCAGATTTGCGCTTTAAGATCACTTTGGTAGCTGAATAGAGGATAGAATGGAGTGGGGAGAAACTTGAAGGAAAGAGATTAACCAGAAAACTACTGCAATAGTCCAGGCATGAGGTGATGAGGGACTGTACCATTGCAGTGCTAGTGTCAGAGGAGAGAAGGAGGTATATAAAAGAAATGTTACAAAAGTAGAATTGATAAGACTTGACAACAAATTGGGGGGCAAGAGAGAAAATGAGGAGTCAAGGATGACACCTAGGTTTTGAGTCTGAGTAACTGGAAGGATGGTGATGTGCTAGATAGTAAGAGGAAAGTTAAGATGTGGAAAGATAATGAGTTCAGTTTTGGACATGCTGAATTTAAGATGTCTATGGCATATCCAGTTAGAGATATCTAATAGGCAGTTGGAAATATGAGACTGGAGGTCAGGAGAAAGGTTAGATAAAGATAAGTAGATTTGAGAATCACTAGCAGAGAGATGAAAATTGAATCCATAGTAGTTAATGAAATTACTGAGAGAAAGAGTGTAACATCCAGTTACCCTTAGGCTATGGGAAAAATTTTTATTTCTGAAGGCATGAATTCAGAGTAATTCTGCATTTGGAAGTTTAATTTTGAAATGGCTTATACACATGCCCCCAGTTAAAAAGCAAAACTCTTTAACAAGGGACTGAGTAGAGTAGGCAGTCAGCCCTATGCTAGGAAAGGTCATTCTCCCCTATGGTCCCCATTGCATCTTCATGCTATAATCAAAGGGACACCAGGAAACATAAAGACAAGACAGCCACAGGCATTTATAAGGAATAATGCTAAATCTTGGAAATGTGTTATTCAACAGATTTTTTTTTAAAACACACAATTAAACAGAAAACAAGATAGGGGCAGGATAGGGACCACAAGTTCCTTGCAGCTATTTTTTGTTATTGTTGTTGGTTTTTTTATCTTAGCACTTCTGTTTCTGAACTAAAATTTTAAAACACAGTCACACATTCTCCACTTGTCCATTTAGAAGTCATCTCTCATGGAATTAAAAAAAGGTAAATTAAAGATGTGGCAGATATGGGCTGTAATTTCACTGCCTATAGATCTCCCTCCTCATCTCTGCCTCCAAGCTTCCCTAACTTCTTTCAAGTCTCAGCTAAAATCTCACTTTCTGCAAGGTTCCTTTACCAGTCTCCCTTAATGCTTGGAGTTTACCTCCAATTTATTCTGTAAAGATATGTC